AATTTCCACACTTCTCCATCTGAGTGATGGTATACCTATGATAATTTGGATGGATTAATATTTCAAACAGTGCCTAGTATACTAGACTGTTACCAAAGTTTTTAATGTTGATTTTTCTTCATCAAACTCGACTAAATGAATTTGGTTATTTACTTGTTTTAAGGATTGTGTTCCAACGAAGAACCTGATTTTTTCAGTATCTGCTAGTTGAGCACAAAGGGCCCGAGCCTAAAAATTAGATACAAATTAATGTGATAAACGGTGAAGGAATGAAAGGTGACACTACTAGGGGTTGATTATTAGTTAAGTCAATCTTAGAACATGATACCTATCACTAATACAGACTCATTAGAAATCCCTCACAGCCTTGTTTGCCAAATTTTTGTATTCTCAGACGCATTTTGTGTATCAACACTATGCGCAGTCTTCTTCTTTGCCATCAATAATTTAATATCTACATGTGAAAGCGCACAAAGTTCATTCTTAAGAAGATTGACATAACAAAAGGACTATAAGTATATAATCAAATTGACTCTTGGAGAGCACTTTGATAAAACTAAGGCATGTCAGTAGGTACTAAAGTGCTACTATTAATAATATGTGAAGTCTGTAATTTTGTACCTTTCAGATACATCCCTACTTTGTTTCTATAAAGTAATCAACAGGTTGCCTAAAGGTAGATTACCCTAAAAGCAAAATAATTTTGGATTGTACTACTGTGTAGCTAAAGTTACTACCAAAAAAGTTAAAATTGCTCCACTATTTACCTGAAACTCAAGCCCGTAAATTACGGAATTTTCGTTTTCCATTTCAATCTAATGTAATAAATAATCTACCGTGAATCCTGAGGCCTTTGTTTATTCATTTAATGAAAATAAATAAAGGTGAGAACTGAGAGGAAGACCATCTATTATATTTTTGAGGTTATGTGATGTTAGTATACAGGGTGGTGACTTGCGTAACGCATCATAGGGATTTCAATGTAAAATTCATAACATGCGATTATTGGCTCCCCAAATTATTTTAGAGCAAAAATGTATTAAGGTTTTTTGTAGAAAAAAAATTTTTACGTCAATCAACCGCATTACTTTTCAATTTTTTGCATAATAAAGACGGAAAATTGGGAAAATAAAACCCGCATCTTTTTCAATAATCTGTGATGCCATGGAATTTTCTAAAACAAGAAGATGTCCAGTTATCAATTAGCAGCAGTTCGAAATGGATTTTATGATCGACTTGGTTACTGTCTTGCAGATAATGGTGACTTATTCGAACATTTATTGTTAATTGTTATATTAGGAAACCGTTTTTAGTAATTTGGTCTTTGTTTATGTTGAATTCGCTGTTCTAAATATAATACTTTTTTATAGAATTTGATTTGTTTTATAGCAGACATTCCATGGCATGACGGATATTGGAGTAGTTTTTGTATTATAAAATTCCATGGCATCACAGATTATTGAAAAGATGCGGGTTTTATTTTTCCAATTTTCCGTCTTTATTATGTAAAAAATTGAAAACTTAATACGATTAATTGACGTAAAAAATTTTTTTCTACAAAAAACCTTAATACATTTTTGCTCTAAAATAATTTGGGGAGCCAATAATCGCATGTTATGAATTTTACATTGAAATCCCTATGATGCGTTACGCATGTCACCACCCTGTATATTCATATTGGTATGGTGATAAACAGCATATTGGTATGTTGGTATCTCGTAAACTACACTGCACAGCACTGCACTGCACCATTGGTTATGTGTATATGGTATATCTGTATAATCAATGACTTTTGTATATTGTATGCCTTGAATTTATAAACTCATAACATAATATATGGATTTTATACTACAAGTAGAATTTTTTTTCTGGTGGATTTTAATATTTTATACAATTCTACAGAGGGGTCAGAAACGTTACCACAAGCATAATTGGCTCGCGGCGCCCAAGCGTTATTTATCCAGAAACCACACGGCTGATTTGAAAATGTATAGGAATGTTATGTTAAATGTAGTAGATAATACATATAATGAATGATCCTTTGCTAAATCTTAAGTCTAAATACTATCCTTCCAAATCGCCATCAGCAAAGAAGTGAATTCTGGAATCACTAGTATTTGGGGCACAGCTTACTTAAGCTGTGTTTGGGGTTTAAAATTACTATTATCATAACTCATAAGAGAGGGCGCTGCTAGTAACTCTGTTAGTTTAATTGCTGACATGGCAGAATAAGGTCAGCACGTTAAACCCAATTCGTTATCGCTTCTCGGCCTATGGCTAAGATCAAAGTGTAGTATCTGTTCTTATCAGCTTAATATCTGATACGACCCGCATGCGGGTCCAGTATATTAAACTGATTTTTGGAAATTGACGGAGGTTAGGGGCTTGCTCCACCTCCGTCGCGGGTTGGCCCGGTCTTGCAGTACCTCCGGGATCGGCCCAAATAAACAAATAAAAACAAAGATATAATTGCTGCCAATGGCTTTTTTTTGGGTCTAGGAACTTCGTCGATCCCCCCAAAGCCGACACGATATTTTGATGGTTCTATATCGCCGATACACTAAGCCGCGAACGTGACCAAACGCCGACTATTCGAAAAACCACACACTCTGTTCAAGCACAGCCGTCTATAATTACAAGCCGTGCTGAGAATTATGGCAACACTGCATGGTAGGCCGCTTTCCTAATTCAACTTGACAGATTTCAGGTGTATTTTTTATGTGTGTTTTGGGTGTAATATTCCTTTTTACCTGTTTTAACAGAGCGAGATTGCGACAATTTGTGTTACTCCGTACGGAATGAACAGAAATTATTATTCAGGTAAGTTGCTAAACGAAATATATCGATTTGTTGTCATAACCTCTAAAGCAGGCTACTCCTTAGTGGGCCCTTTATAAGCACTTGTATTTGTTCAAAGTACCTGTACAAGCTCAAATATGACCTACACACTACGTGGTACGTAAGTACGGTAAGTGTTTATCGTGAAAGAATACAATAATTATTTTATTAGTTGGTATTTCAGATATTCTAGCACGGACATGTCAAGTCGATTTTCTGAAGGAACCTTCCGACTTATTCCCAGGAGTACACGGTACGGGAATTTGAAGTCTACGGGGCTCCCCTCTTTAAAAGCTTCGTACATAGACCCACTGGAGTAGTGACTGGCTTAAAATCTGCCATTCCGAATCACACCTGGTCGTTGATAAAACTTCGCTGATGCACAGCGATTTACTGTCCTTTTGCCGAAATTAAGTGCCTAAGCGTGTTCTTCACCTCGACCTCTTTCGACAGAAGTTCACCAATTTCGGAGATCTCGATGGAAAACACGTTATGATGCAGTTACCAATTTACAGCGTTCCGAATTTTAACGTCAAATAAAAATGTTATTATCTACTTTTGTAAATAAATAAAATATATGTACAATTGTAAGCTGCTTAAATATCTTTCTTCTGTATTAAAACCACCAAGGCGAAACACAGGAGAGAGGAAAAATGCAATTTTTCAAGAGCAACAAGACGCCATTAAAATTATATCGGCCCACCGATTGACTTTCGGACAACGTTGCCAAACTTCTCAGCATGGCTTGTAATTATAGACGGCTATGGTTCAAGTTTATTAAGAATTGAGTTTACATTTATAAAAAAAATGTCCTAAACCTACAAATGGATCTAGGACACTTCGCCGAATGCCCACAACGCCGACACGATTTTTTGAAGGTCCATATCGCCGACTAGGGACACTACGCCGACCGTGCCCACATCGTCGACAAGTGTGCAAGGGACACAACGCCGACCATGCCCACTTCGCCGATCGTGCCCACATTGCCGAAACGTGTGCAAGAGACACTAAGCCGAACGTGACCACAACGCCGACTGTTCGAAAATCCAGGCCCCTCATACTCTGTCCAGTGTATGAGTTTGCATTTTAAAAACATGTCCTAAACCTACAAATAACCTAATATCCAAAGCTGCTTTGCTTCACACTCCGTCCAGTTTGATTAAGAATTTTCGTATGAGTCTGTAGTTCGAAAAAAGTTAAAAAAAAAACATTCTAAACCTACAATAACCTAACGTCAAAAGCTACTTGGTGTTGCACACCGTCCAGCTTGATTAAGAAGTGTTGTATGAGTCGACGTTATGGTCACGTTCGCCTTAGTGTCCCTTGTTCACTTGTCGGCGATGTGGGCACGGTCGGCGTAGTGTCCGTCGGCGAAGTGGGCATGGTCGGCGTTGTGTCCCTTGCGCACTTGTCGACGATGTGGGCATGGTCCAAGGTTGGTATATTACAGGTTGCCTCGTAACTATCGACCAATAGCAATCGAGGCGCGAATACGTCACTGGTATCCCACGATTTAAACGAAGTAATAAATGCATGCAGCCACCTGCCACACAGCTAGAAAATTTGATACGGTTTGATGCGTAGCTATTGTTTACAGTTCTTTCATGATGTTTGAATCGTTTAACTAATGAAACACAAATATTCAGTTTTATATTATAAATTTAGTAATTATAAATCGTCGTATAATACAGTCAATCTTCATCTGACGTACCAGTCTTTACCGTGAAAGATAAACAGCTTCATCTAACAATCCATCGCGTGGTCACATTTTTCTTCCAATTCTCTTAACGTAGTTTATACAGTCTCTACACTTACTTTTCGATTTGTAGATGAGATAGGCGGGATCAACGAGACCATATGATCCTCCTGCTTTGGTCAGTTTTAAACCCGTTCATCTTCTGCCGACCGCCTTTCCTAAACATCATTTTCTTTCATTTTTCCGTAAATATCGTTGACCGCCAATCAACAATGTGTAATGTATTGGGTTTTTCCCAAAATTGATATTCGACTTCGCCCTACAATTCAGTATGGAATAAACGTTGTGTAAAGTAACATGTTTGTTTCCTTCTCCGGCCCCGTGCAAATACAACATTGGCGACGTGGATTTGGATTTTTAAAGGATATGGTTAACATTTAGAAATAAATTGTGCATCGGTTAAACAATGGCTGTCAGTGCCGCAAGTGTTGGACATTTACCAGAATTTAGTTTCAAAAACAGTGATTGGACAATCTATAAAGCGCGATTAAACAATTATTTTGTGGCGAACGGCATTCAAGATGATGTTAAAAAACGTGCTATTTTGTTAAATTGTTTATGTGAGCAAACATATAAACTGGTTTATGACTTGTGTATTCCTAAAACGCCAGAAGAACAGTCATTTGATAATTTAATTAAAGTGTTAAATAATCATTTTGCACCAAAAGCGTCGTGTTTGGCGGCAAGATACAAGTTCTACAACGCCAAAAAGACAGACACTGAATCGGTGAATGATTGGGCAGCGCGAGTACGTGGTTTAGCAACACATTGTGAGTTTGGAACAGAATTACCAGTTGTTCTTCGTGATATTTTTATCATGGGATTTAATCCAGGTCCTATTTTGGACAGGTTACTCGAGGAAAAAGTGACAGTTTCGTTATCAAGTGCCATTGAAATTGCTTTCAATAAAACAGCCGTAGTTAATCATTTTGATTTGCAGAAAGTCGTTTGTAAAGAGGAACCCGACCTTCATCATATCAGTTCCGGTAGCCGCCACAAGTTACGTGGTAAATGCACGGTTTGTGGGCGATCAACCCATATGGCAAAAGACTGCAAGTACCGCGACTATTCTTGTCATCGTTGCAACAAGAAAGGACATCTGGCACCCGTTTGTCCAGTAAAATCATCTTCTCAACAATCACCAGGGTCGTCTCACCGCAAGTCTAAAAGTAAGGTACCGTCGAATGTTAATCATTTTATGGACGAGGAAAATGCTAGTGAGTTTGAAAAAATGTCATTGTTTTCAATTACTTCTAAGCAAAATGTGCCTATAATGATAAGCGTATTGGTCGAAGGTGTAGAACTGGAATTTCAATTAGATACTGGGTCTAGTATATCTGCAATTTCGTATCAATTGTACAGAGAACTTTTCTTTAAGTTTGCGCTTATCGAAACCGATAAGTCATTGTATTTTTATAATGGTGTCAAAATACGACCATTAGGATATCTTAAGTTAAAAATTACCTACAAAAATAAGGTTAATTATTTAAACTTTTTTGTTATTGAAGATGGTAGCTGTCCTATTTTAGGCAGAGATTTTTTGTATTCTTATAATTTAAATATTTGCGATAAGAATGCGAGCGTAAATTTTGTTAATGCAGATTTGGAACAAATAATTTCCAAATATTCTAACGTTTTTGCACCAGGTCTTGGTAAATTTAATAAAGGGGTGTTTACGTTGCAATTAAAAGAGACCACTGTAACACCAAAGTTTCACAAACCTAGACCACTGCCATATGCGTTAAGAGATAAGGTAGAAAAGGAATTAGATAACTTAGAAAAGTTAGGTGTGATATCGTCTGTAGATTATAGTGAATGGGCTGCACCCATTGTGTGTGTGTTAAAAAAAAACGGTAATGTACGTATTTGTGGAGACTTTAAAGTTACCTGCAATCCATATTTGATAGCGGATTTTCCTTGTATTCCACGAATCGAAGATTTGTTTAGTACGTTACAAGGTGGAGAATTTTTCTCTAAATTAGATTTATCACAGGCATACCAGCAAGTGGAATTAGACGTAGCTTCTAAACAATATGTTACTATATCTACTCATAAGGGTCTTTATAGATATAATAGGCTTCCATATGGAATAGTTTGCGCGCCAGCAAAATTTCAAAAATTAATTAATAGCATTTTACAAGGGCTACCTGGAGTCATAGCATTTTTAGATGACATCCTCATTACTGGGAGAAATGAAAATGAGCATTTGAATCGATTAAAATCAGTCTTAAGTAAATTACAAGATTGTGGTTTAAAATTAAGTCGTAATAAATGCTGTTTTTTTCAAAAATCAGTTCAATATTTAGGATTCGTAATTGATAAGGATGGTTTACATCCTACTGAAGATAAAATCCTAGCAATTAAGAATGCACCAATTCCAACTAATGTAACGCAGCTAAAATCTTTTTTGGGACTTGTAAATTTTTATGGTAAATTTGTTCCTAATTTAGCAACGCTGTTATACCCTTTATATTGTTTACTTAAAAAAAACTGTAACTGGAGTTGGACTTCAGATTGTCAAAGGTCATTCGAAAAAGTAAAACTTATTTTGTTGTCTGCTGATGTTTTGGTTCACTTCAATCCAGAATTGAAAATTAATTTGTCTGTGGATGCATCACAATACGGTATAGGTGCAATCCTTTCTCACACATTCGAGAATGGAAGTGAAAAACCTATTGCCTATGCATCACGTTCCTTGAATGAAGCAGAGAAAAAATATAGTCAAATAGAAAAGGAAGGTTTAGCGATAATTTTTGGACTGCGAAAATTTCATCAATATCTTTATGCTAAAAGATTTACTTTGGTCACTGATCATAAACCTTTAATTTCTATTTTCAATCCGAAGAAAGGTATACCTCAATTCTGTGCAAATCGTTTAAAACGATGGGCAGTAATATTATCGAATTATAATTATGAGATCGAATTTGTTCGTTCTGAACATAATATGGCGGATAGTTTATCTCGATTACCTTCTCCGTCACAAGAAATTGAGGAATCTGATTTTGATTATTGTAATTTTTTTGAAACCAACAATGATTTTCCTATCGATTTTAAGTTAGTTAAAGATAAAACTCAACAAGATGAAACTTTAACAGAAATTATAAAACGAGTTAGGTATGGTTGGCCTGAAAATGTTAGTTTGAAACATGATAATAGTGATCTTAAGTGCTACTTCATTCGTAGAAATGAATTGACCATTGAAGATGATTGCCTATTGTGGAAAGATAGATTAGTTATTCCCACGGAATTAAGGAGCATTCTCTTAAATCAATTACATTTAACCCATATGGGTGTAGTAAAAATGAAAAGTATGGCTAGATCGTATTTTTGGTGGCCAAATATTGATAAGGACATAGAGAATACTGCTAAATTTTGTCAATCCTGTATATTACATAAAAAGTCACCTTCAAAAGCAAAATTATCTCCATGGAACTGGCCAAATTCTCCTTGGGAGAGACTACATGTTGACTTTATGGGACCATTTCTTGGCAAACACTTTTTCATAATTTTAGACGCTCATAGTAAGTGGATCGAAGTTTTTCCAATGACTACAATTACCAGTAGTTCCACAATTCAGGTACTGCGTACCACGTTTGCAAGATATGGCCTTCCTAAACTGTTAGTTTCAGACAACGGTACCCAATTTGAATCACTCGAATTTAAACAATTTTTAAGGAAAAATGGCATAAAATTTATGACCTCACCTCCCTATTCCCCTCATTGTAATGGAGCCGCAGAAAACGCGGTTAAGACTATTAAGAATGCACTTAAAAATGCACTAGGTAAAAACACCAAACTTGATTTAAATATCATTTTAAGTAATTTCTTGTTTGACTATAGAAACACTAACCATTGTACAACAGGAGTATCCCCCGCATATTTAATGTTAGGTAGGAATTTAAGAAATAGGTTTAGTTTAATTAAGCCAAACGAAATTGTAACAAGTAGGGTTAAAGCTAGTCAGATTAAGCAGTGCAAACATTATAAGGGAAAAAGTGAAGTGCGTTATGAACCGGGTGAAGAAGTGTTGGTGAAAGATTATCGTGTACCCAATAAACCAGTGTGGGTTCAGGGATTAGTTTTAAAGCGCCGTGGTAATTGTACTTATATAGTTAGAGTTCCTGAAATTGATAAAATTTGGAAACGTCATTGTAATCAGTTGCTGAAATTTAAACCAGTTTGTAGTCAGCCATCAATTCCTATGTCAAATTCAGAGACTCCATCTATAACCACCCAGGTACCACATGATGTAAGTAGTGATAGCGATATTGACAATGTACCATTAGCATTAAGTAGGGAGAGAAGACAGATCAAACCACCGGATAGGTTTATGTCATACATTTAAGGTGGACGAATGTAATGTATTGGGTTTTTCCCAAAATTGATATTCGACTTCGCCCTACAATTCAGTATGGAATAAACGTTGTGTAAAGTAACATGTTTGTTTCCTTCTCCGGCCCCGTGCAAATACAACACAAAT